GATTGTAACTCAGAATATTTCCCCTCATCTTGTAGTGGTTGATTATCATGGCGGAGAGCGACGGCGTCGGATTGAAGATGGAGCAATTGACGACCAGAACTCCGACGTCCTTTGGGCGAATCCGAGTCTTCTCGAAGAGCTCGTCGAGAGCGCCGAACATGACGGCGGACGCCTCCGCCCGGCCCTCCTTCATGGTGGCGCAGTTGTCGGCGGAGGCGATCACCGATTTTGGAATGTAGGTTTCATCGCCGATTCCCGATGATTCTAGAATCCTCCTCTTGAACTCTAGGCTTCCCTCGTCGAATTTCCCTGATTTTCTTGCTACTTCTATGAATTCCTCCTTCGATACCTGCAAATTTTAAATACCCACAACAATTAAAATAAAGAAAAATAATTCAACTAAATATTTTAAAAAATAATAATAAAGAACTGTTGATTTTTCAAAGTGGTCGGGATAATTTTTCTTTTTTCTTTTCATAAGTAAACTATTAGTGGACCATTTAGTTTATTACACGAAGTTTCAACTCTTAAAAAATCCATTTTATTCTCGCTCTTTTAGTTTCTATATTTCCAATTTTCTAAATAGAATTTCTTTTCTCATCCTTATCACTAAATTTATATACTACATTTAATTTAAGACATGTTATAAATTTATGGATAATAATATTTAGAAACCATTGAATGTTTGATATTTTAAAAAAATAATGATGGAGTAGTGTAAGCATAAAAATAGATTCTTACATTTTCCATATATTTGATCCTTACCTAGGTATGTATATATATTTCTTACCTCAACTAAAAATATGAATACGTAAAGGAAGGGAAAAGATAAAATAAATAGCTGTCAATTTTTTATTTGACAGTAAGTAATAAGAAACGCAATTAAATAGTAGGATAAATTTACCAAACTCAAAAATTATCTTTTTGTTTTTGTTTATTTTATTTTTAGAGTATTAGTGATTATATTAATCATGTAATCATTTTTTTTAATTTAAACATAGTTTAACTAGTTAAGACATTGGAAGGTAGTAAACTCGAATCTCTATCCTTATACTAAATAAAAATAATTTTGTTTTTAAGTGTCATCTTGAACTTGATAAAAATTTAAAATCAGATGATAAATACACAGTCACAACTTATTTAATAGAGACGAAACATATTACATGATCAATGCAAAACTTAAAAAATCAACCATCATTTAAGAACACACTTCTAAAACCGGATCAAGATATACATATATAAAAAAATCAAAAATCAAATAGGTTGAAAAATATAACCACGCATAACATACATACATATATCATCGAATGATATTTCATTAGTAGTAGGAAATTAAAGAAGGAATATTGAAAGAAAGAAAAAGAGAGGAGAATTGAATGATGTGACCTTGAAGTCATCGGAAGGGCGGAAGCATGCAAAATCAAGAAGATAGATAGATCTAGGGCGCGACATGAAGTAAACGGAGAGAGTGAAGACGAAGACGGCGAAGAACGAGAGAACGGTGGCCAGATCGTATCGCGCGTCCTCCCACAGCTTCCGCCATAGCTCCTCCCGGCTCAGGCTTCCGACCTCCGCGCTGAACACCAGCACCAGCACCGGCACGGTGGCCAGGTAAATGCCGTGGTTGATCAGGTAACGGTACCCTAATTTGACGTATTTGAGATTCACCGACTGGAGAAAATCCGGCAGGCGGCGGCGGACTCTGACGGAGAAGGTGAGGGAGCCGGCGTTGGGGCCGGAGGATTCGATGCCGCGGTTGACGATCTCCGTGGATAACAGATCTCGCTCGTTCGCCATGACAAGAGCGTGAAGAAGAGAGAGAGAGAGAGAGAGAGAGAGAGAGAGAGAGAAAGGGATTTTGGGGATTTTTGGGGGCAACGGGAAATTGTAATTATAAAGAGCGACGGAAGGTTGGTGGGTGGGAATTAGTTAATGCAAACACCAACTCCGCGCCAATGCAGTTGGGGCGCCTTCAACTCCCATTTATTTCTTCATTTATTTCTTTTTCATTTTTACATTTTACATTTTACATTATATATCAATCAAAACACTACAACTCTTTCCTTTCCTTTAATAATACTTTTACGTGTTAATTACTTCAAGCCTACTTCCTACGAGCCTTGGGGAGATACTAATTATTACCCTGGAGCTTTCACTCTTATCATTGTTAAAAAAAAAAAAAAAAATCTTAGAAATTCACCGACCAAATGATCGATCGAAGGTTTGAATCCTCACATTCACATGTTAAGTTATATTATGTTTAGTTATGCTTGAAATAATAATAATCAAGGGATCGAACTAACCTGTTATGTTTTAGCATATTTATGTGTTTGTTCTCAAGTACTTTTAAAATATTTGGAATTAATACAGACATGTGGAACATTTTATAATCTACGAAATTATATGGAATATGGATATGTGAGTTGTTTTAAAGCTTAGAGATTTCAATCCTTACAATTTGCTAATTAAAGAAAATTTATAGGGAGTTGTTTTTGTATATTTTGTTGTTTCTAGCGAAATATTTTGTGTTCGCCTATTTTTCTATTTGATTTGGTCTATTTTTTAGAATGTTCTTTAATTTTTTTTTAACTCTCTAAATTTAAATTTTGTTTCTAAAAAGGAGTATGATGTATAATAGGCTGCAAATTTCAATATCATTATTTGCCTAGAGGCCAATAACTTATATATCATGACATTAATTTTGAAATATTGAGGAATATTTTTAGCTCAATATCATCTTCATTTTCCTAACAGGGAAAAACTGTGTCTGGCAATGGTTCATCTAGGGTCCCATTGTTTTCTCCTTTTCACAAATATGAATATGTTTATTTTTTGGATTGATGCCAAAAATATGGTAAATAAGTATGAATTTAAAGAGATTACAAATTTCAACTCAGAAAAATGATCAAATTCTGACATCTCTATTAACTTAGTATGTACTGTTAAATCGCTAATTATCTATATTTAGAAGTTATAATGGGCAATTCACATCACCATAACAATAGGATTATAATTTTGTAAATATGGTAAATATTAATGTTTTTTTTTAGCATTTCGTAACTAACAATATTTCTTGTTTCTCCTTCTTTTTAACATTCTCAAAATTATATAGAATTTTAGAAACAACCAAAAACAAGTTTCTTCTTTCTTGTTTCCATTTACAATTCATACTTGAATTCATGAATGTCAGGTTCATACAATTCATTTTTCTTTATTAAAAATGAAGAAACAGAACAACGTTATCAAACGAGCTCTAATAGACTAATTTCTTTTTATTTTTTAGGCAAGCACCTATCTTTGGAAACAGAAAGAAAGAAAAGAAAATGATTATTAAACATCCTCTTAGAAACTTAAGAGACTAGCTAATCTATATTTGTAGATTATATACATAATAGATGAAAATGATGTAAATCAATTATTCAAACCCGGCCTTTTTTGACTTTTTGGACTATATTTTTACCTTCTTTAGCATGATTCTAATAAGTTAGGTTATATTGAAAGCTTGTTAATTTAAGGAACCTTACTTCTACTCGTTCATCTTTTCAAAATATTAACTTCTTTTGCCCAAACTCTACTTTCCAAGCCATCTAAAGCTACCTTTAACCAATCCTACAAAAACATTTAATCCAAAAAATTTACCAATTTTGTTTTCTGATGATTTTGAAAAGATATATTTATTTACTAACATTTTTTTTTTATTTTTATAAACTTCTTTCAAATTATTTTAAAAACTTGGCTAAAATTTTTTTAAAATCGAAAAGGAAGAAACATCCAAACTCTTGCCTTTTTGTTTTCTTCAAAAAGTAAAAAATAAAAAAGTCAAAATTACCGGCCAACGATCTTATTTTATAAAATTAGAAAACTAAAAACAAAATTAATTGTAAACATAGCCAAAGAAGTATACATAACTTCAAGGAGGCTATTTAATGTGCGCCGAACTTCACAAAGATGACAATTTACAATTATTGAAATCAAACCCTTAAATATTTAAAAATACAAAAATCACCCGTGAACCATTAGAAATTATTAAAATCAAACCCTCGAACTATGGATTGTCGCAATTCAACCCAATTTTTTAATTCTACAAAATTTGAAAACTATAATATTATTTATGAAAAAAAAATATTTTAAATTCAAAGACTACAATATTAACAAACACAACCACAATCCAATGAGGTAGAGCACAAGTGGACACCCGTCAACGTGGTTGGGATCCCGAACAGTTAAGACATTAGTAACCTCTCGGGTTAGACTCCAAATTCCCGCCCACCCTCTTGTTTGAACCAAAAAAGGAAAAAAGAAAAAAGCTGTGAATTTAAAGCCAACCACATATCCACCATCCACTAACTGAATAGTTGGTTCGGAAGTCTGCATTGACCAAGCAAGAGGAGGGAGAGGTCTTCTTCCAAAAGCAAAGCATTAAAGAATTCCTCTGCCACACCCTCCAAATATGGCCTTTACAGTTGACACAAACAAAAAATGAGACATAAAACACAAATTCTATTTCTATGCAATAAATTTTGTCAACAAACAAAACAACTACAAGATGGCCAGAGAGGCAATGAGTGAAGTCCACTACAGTTTTGTCTTAACTTAACCTCATTGTTAGGACCTTATATTTCACTAAGTAATTTGACTGCAGATTGTTCACAGGCTTTCTAACAGTTTCTTTCAAGGTATTTTTTTCAACAAATTGTAACAAATATTTGCGTAGTGAATTTGACATCCAGGATTCAGCTACCAGAAAATAATGGTACAACTTGAAAGAATTTGTTTCTTAATTTTGTCTAGTAAATAACCAGCATATAGAAGATGCAGGACGACGAACCTTGGGGATTGTTTTTCACAAAGTAGATATTCTGAAGCATTCATGCCAGGTTCTGGAAAGTTTTTCTTTTTGTTGGTTTTATCTCTCTGCCTCGTGACTGTGGATGGCTGCATTCGAGCCTTGTGGCTTTGATGAATCGGCACAAGAATAGTATTCTTTACAAAAGATGTTGCAAGATGCACTACCAGTTGAATTTCTGGACCTGTAACCAAATAAATTCAAGGAACAAAAAGTTCCCCTGATAAGCCATTGTACAATATTACATTAAGAGGTGAAAAAGATCTTGCCATGACGTTAGAAAACAATTGTGCCCTCAATTGGTATTGCTTGCTGTGTTGCTTCATGAAACATAGGTATATTGGCATATGAGAATCATGCTACTAATTAATATGACCATGCATTATAGGTTCAGCTAGGAAACACAACTTGTGATGGACATGTGTCCAACACGCAAAAAAAGAGTCCTTTTTCTATTAAAAAAAAAAAAAAAGACACGCCCAGACATGTGAATACGTCCCTCAGGAAAGGGGAGGAAAAACAAAGCGCTCTTTTATGTGCTGTAGCTGTAGTACTAATAGCAACCCATTCACAGGGAAAAAGACCCATTTGAGAGAGCCCATTCATATGCTGCAATGGCCCAGCCCTATATATAAACAAAGTAAAAGCTAACCCTTAAATATCCCAGAAAAGGGGCAATTGACATAACTTATTTATTCCTTTTACAAAAGCAAATGTTAAATTTACCCGTTTCATCTATTTTGAAGTGTTGGATATGTCAATATACATATATACTCTAAACTATAAAAACGTGCCTCCATCGTGTTTGCATCCTACTTTTTTTAAATTTGACATGTCGTATTTGTGTGCATTTCATATCCATGTCTCACGTTGGGATTTGCACTTCTTAGATGCTAGGCATCCAACTTCAAAAGTATTATCTAGGAGGGGCAAAATGGTAAATTATTTATCTGATCGTTAGTTAGATTTTGTGCTTGGTATATCCAGGGGGTATGTGCACAATCATTTTGGGGGAGGTTCTAGAGTTTTGGGAGAGTCACCAGCTCTCTGGGAAGCTGGTGGGATAATCAAAAGACTCTAGAATACCTGTCATAGTATTAGACGATATAACTGATAAGCCATTATACAAGCTAACTTCCTACAAATGGTAACTGCCTTGAACTTGGGACAGATGAGCATTCCTCCAGAAATTGAAAATACTTCATTGAGTTCAAATTACAGAGGTGACGAAATAGCCATAAAGTAGAGCTCAGACTCCACGAGTTGAACTACTAGTTTCATACTAAATTAGGAAATCAATCCAAAATACTTCTCGATCTCACCAACAGATTCAATAGATTAATTTTAGGTATAATCAATAATATACTTCTCCTAACATAGAAATGAACTCAATTCATTCTTAATCAGTAAGAAAGAAACCTGCCTGTCATGATATTCAGGTGGCATAGCCAACAACAAACAGCTATGCATATCCCGCCACATGAGGAGCCATTTCACAGATATCCCATGCAGTTCCATCCCTCTGGGTGTTAAATAATTCTGCAAGCAATTTGAGGTGTGAGAATCAAATAATCATTCCAGGTTTGATGTCAAACATCAATTACATTTCAATTTATGCCAAAATAGTTTGCAAGTACCTCACTTTGGCAGAAAATTTTCCTTACCTCTGGATTATGAACCCAACAAAGCAAAAGATTAATTCATCAATATTTACACCTAGACATAGATCTGCCCAAATAGTTTTCAGGGCTGACTTATGGTATAGAATATAATTTCTTGTGCTATAGGTGATGGATCACATATGAGAACCTGTACGGTTGTTCCTTAAATACATACTGATATTGTTCTTTTATCAAGTGATTATATTAACGATGTAAAACTGTGTAATCACTAGAAACTAGTTGAGCACTTCGGGTGATAATGATATCATATTTCCATTGATCGGACACTTCAAGAAAGATTGGAGAATTAACAAACCTGATGCATAGGATTCTTGAGAGAAATCTCCGCTTCATGGTTTTGATCAAATGCAACTCCTCATGTGCTTGAACGCTAGAGGACCAAGAGAAATGTAGATACAGACTACAGAGGAGATTCTCTGATGCATAGATTATTCCCAAATAGGAGGCTGGGACTCATCCCACTCAATCGAACCGAACATCTGGTTTTCTTTCCTTCCGAAATCAGATCAGATGAATTAATACCCAGAGATGATTCAGAATCCTTTTACATGCTTAAAAGTGTCCCCGATTTCCACGTCATTGGTATTGGCATCTAATGCATTCACTTTCAAACAACCCGTATCCTGCTCAGAGTCAGAGTCATCCTCAGCCAAACTATTATACTCCATTTCAGACATGTCATCAAAAGTTTCAATCTTCTTTTTCTTTCCTCTATAACCAACAAGGCTCATTACCTTCTCCTTCCAAAGAACCAAAGGGCATTTATTTATCAACTCCGGACCTTCATAAGCTTCTGTTAAGAAAACACTAAATCTTTTTCCCCTCTCTGAGACATAGAATATGCCAACATGCTTCAAAAGAAGTCTCATCAGCTTTTGAGGCATCACAAGCTCCCGCCTAAAGTGGGTAAGGTGGTCAGTAACGAGTCTCTTCTCAATAGTAAAGTTAAGCAACTCGTGCATAACAGAAACTGCCCTTTTATCAAACTCAAGTGAACCAGCTTTAAGCCCTCTGGCATCGGCATAAGGGGACAAATAAGATCTCTTCTGGAAGTGATCAATTTTCCCTCCATATCTATATATTTTCTTGTAATTGGGAGGAAATTTCAAGGGAAATGGAATTGAAAGCAATCCTGGGGTATGAGTAGCAGTACTCTCAGTCACACCCATCACTCTCTTCTCCAACTCTGTAACTGCCCAGGCAGGATTCCAAGAAGCAAGTTCCAAATATTCAGTTTCATCCTCTGATTTCACAACCTTGAATAATTCGGGATAATTATTCACCCATTTGGCTCGAAAATCAATTGGAAGCCCAAAATCTCTTCTGAAATGAGCAATTTTGTCAACCGGAAGCCGCTTATCCAGGGACATCATCAAAAACCTGGTAACATACTCGGCAGCCTTGTCGGCTTGTTGTTCAATTATCTTCTCCTCCTCTTCCACCAAATCTTCGGCTTGTTTAGTCATTCCACACCACAATACGCCTCTTTGATCCTTGTACAATTCGAACAGTTTCGGCGATTTTCGAATGAAGTCCGAAACTTTGTGCGGTTTCGGAAGATTGATTTGCCTCCGGAATTGCTCTAAGTTCCTCACTGGAATTATCATCTCGGGCTCTTGCCTGAGGGTTTCCATCAAGAAGAGTACCTTATACGCTATCTTCCACTTCTCTGTCGCTATTTCAAGCGCATGCACCCTCTTCAAGTGGCTTCTATCTTGAACGCGTTTACTGCTCGTCATTGACCGGATTTGCGACCGCGGCCAACACTCCGGAAAATGGTTTATGTACAGATAACTTGCGAACTCATTCCAGCAAAGTAATCGAAGATGGAGAGAAAGGCTCACATTGTACCGATTCGAGATTAGGACATTGGAAGAATTGGCAATGTGAACCGCCATGAACGTGAGCAAGATTTGGCGCCTCCCCTCCCCAGGTGTTTGTGGAAATGCCGAAGAGAGAATAGCGAATCAATGATGGCGCACGCTCGGCCTTTGCACTGACCCCTATTGGGCCGTGAGCTGTGGCCTACTAAACAACGTTAGCAAAGGCCCATATTAATATATGGGATTCTTCCCTATGGCCTGCTTGATTTGAGCTCGATAATGTGGGTTGGTTTCGTTACAAGGTCTGCCAATTTGAACCGACCCGACTCAACTCCACAATAATATAAAATTATAAATTTATTGTTTACCGAAGATTCAGTCTCACTCTACTTAATAATTATAAGGTATGGATTTTATTAAAATCCTATGATATCAATCTCATCCAACTAAAATTTCGTAGGTTGTTAAAGCGAGCAGTTCGACAATAATTGATATATATCTTCAATCTACCTCCAATCAAGAGATTGTGAGTTCGATCCTCACCTCCACATGTAGTACTAAAAAAATATATTTCTTAGGTTGATCAACTTATCGTAGGTTATAAAAAATCTACAACCTCATCAGATTGAGTTTAAAATATCATAAATCAAAACTAACGAACACTTTCACTTTCTTTTTCTCCTCATCCTTAAATTAAAAAATAAATATCTTTGAATTTTTTTATTATTTAGTTTTTGTCGTCTACAATATCAACTAGGAGTGTAATTCGAGTTGGGTTGGGTTGGTTTCATGCAAAACCAAATCACCCCGAATATATTCGGGTCAAAACTGAATCGATCCACGCGTTGGGTCGGGTTGCCAGTTTTTTATATATATTAAATTTTAGATTTGAGCTAAGTATTTTTTTTACTTTATTATTTTAGGAAAATCATTATATATATACATACACACACACTGTTATATTGGTACTATGTGATGAGTAATGCGATAAAGTAGAAAAGTGTAGTTAAAGTGTGAGATGAGTGACAACGCTAAAGTAACTCACTTGTTTTCATGGTTCAAATCTTCTATCACACTTGTTCTACTTTGGCTCCTTAATGGTGATGACCAAATCATGTCCTCACCACCACTAAAAAATTGACAATTCATTAATTTTTATAAAAAAATCTCTATTTTTACATTTCTTTATCGTAGTTATCAAACATTTAATATTGGTGAGAACAAGATTACTCCTCGTTATCAAGGAGCTAAATATTCTTAATAAAGTTAAGCATAATCCAAATTCAAGCCAGTAGTTGAACTTCTTTTAAATTACTAGACTAAATAAATCAAATGTTCAAACTACAGAATTAAATTCCCAACTTAATCTATTATATTTTAATAGGCTATTAAATCTTATCCTATAGTTATTAAAAATAGTATGTTGTGTATAACTGACACACATTATTGAAAAACTAACATCACAAATTTTAATTTTAAAAAAAAATCAAAATTTACTATGTAGAATACTCTGCTAAGTTTTGTCACTTTTCAAATTGACCCTATAATTACTATTTTAAAGATAACAATTTAAAAAGTCGTGGGATAAAAGACAGAAATGTCCTGAAATTGACATGGTCAAACTTTGACTATCCTAAGTCCTAATTGGACTGAATGGGACCGCCGCAAGGCAAATAGCTGCTGCTGAGTCGTCATGGCCAACGCCATGTGAATATATTTGAGTGTTGGCACTCAAAATAAAAGCACGAGCTAAATTTCATTTTCAAAACAGAAATAAATATCCACACAGTAATAATAATGGGCAAACTATATCCACACAGTTTGCATATTTTTATAAATTGTAACTTTTATATTTTATGCATGTTTATTGTGAATTCTGATATGACTCAAGAAGCGGGAAGATTGGGAATCGTCGGGAGGTACCTACTTCTCCTTACGTTTTTAGAAAACTTCATGAGGGGTTCTACTTCTCTCGACATTTTTGGAGAAGTTTGATAATTTGGCATGCAAGCCCACTTTTCTCCCGACATTTTTTTAAAAGAAGTGTTGGGAGAAGTAGGTATTGTGCACTAAATTGCCAAACTTTTCGGATGATTTTATTTAAGGTGTCGGCTAAAACTTCTCAAAGCATTGGGAGAATGGGCTTTTCTCAATACTAAAAGTTTTTTCGGAATAGCCTGTTGTGAAAGGAAGGGTTGGAATGTGCTATTTTATTCAAACATGGATTTGTCCCAACGAAATTCACCAGTGCGTCGATAAAATGTATTTTTGCTGACTTATGTATAGAACGTCAAGACCATGCCCTACGCTTATCCCGACGTTTTTGTAGTGTTGGGCATGAGTTTACAACCTTCTTCAACATTTCATTATTCTCACACATACCTCGTTTTTTAAAGCAATAATTTAGAAAACATTGAGAGATAGACTTTTTTGACAAAAGATCTTCTAGATATTTTTACCTCTTTTCTTGACGTTTTTTTAGGCATCAGAGAAACATTATTTCTAGCAGTAAACTAATCATGAATATCCCATGATTTTCATAACCCTTCTATTGATAATGAATCAATATATTTACTTTAGCTAAACAAACTTCTAAATGAGAAATGTAAAGATGATAGAATATAATACTATTTAAAATGTCATCTTAAGCACAATCTCACTTATAAATCTTTCGTCGATGGTCCAAAGGGATAGGAAGCCCGCATATCCAACAATGGTCATATTGTAGCTCATTCCCTTTTCTCCGACATAGTAAAGCCATAGAATATTTGTCAATCGTTGGCAGGAATATAATCATTAGAGTATCATTAACACTGATTATCTTCTATGTGACGGTATACAATCCAAATCTTTCAAAGCACATGTTCTCTCTCAAACCTCTTTCCTACTGGAGTCACCCTTATCAAAGATACACGACATATTGCACTCAATCTTCTGCTCTCTTGATAGCTCTTCTCAAATTGAGTATAGACTTAAGTTTCGAAGTGCACTACGCATCCCCCACCACGTCATCAACAACTTTTATATATGATTTAGCAAGGAGAAGAAGAAGAAGAAAAAAAAGTAGAGTTTGAGATTGTTTTATAAAATACACGTGGAATTATAGGGCTAGACCGCGTTACCCATCACTCTCATAAATCTACTCGTTTTGGCCACTTCCTATTTAAACTCCCAAAACCCTCTCCCCACTTATCACTATCCTCAAAACTAAAAAATACAGAACTTTCCTTTCATACCCGGACCCGAACCCGGATCCGAAAAATGGCCGACCGCCGTAATGCCGCCAGTGACGTGGACGACAGTTCGTGTCAGAACTTGAAGTACAAGGGTGTCAGAAAGCGCAAATGGGGCAAGTGGGTCTCCGAAATCCGCCTGCCCAACAGCCGTGACCGTATTTGGCTTGGTTCTTACGACAAACCCGAGAAGGCGGCGCGTGCTTTCGACGCGGCCCAGTTCTGCCTACGTGGCCCCAATGCCAACTTTAATTTCCCCGACAGCCCGCCGGACATCGCCGGCGGCCACCGGCTTACCTCTCCGGAGATCCGGGCCGCCGCCGCCAAGTTCGCGGAAGACCGGACTGCGAGTAGTGATGATAATAATAATGTTCTGGCCGGGGAAGTACGCCCCGAGGAGCGTGATGGTGGTGCCGCCGGTGTTGACGGTGGCGCGTTCGTTTGGCCGGAGCTGGACGGCGGTTGGGAACCTGATTTTGATTATTTTATGGGTCGGAATGAAATGCTTTACGATAGTGATATTATTTTTCCGGTACAAGAAGATATGGAGGAGGATGAGTTGGTTGATAGTGGAGGGTATTTTTATCACGAGTCTAATTTCCTGTGGAACTTTGGTAATCATTGAGCCTATTGGCTAGCTTGGTTGGGCCATTTGGTAATTTTTAGCAACCCCAAGGCCCAATCATCTTTCAATAGCCTTAAAAATATATATTATACTTAAAATCACTGTAGTCTCTTTACAGGTCATTATAAACAAGGTTGTAAATGTTGATAATGATGGAAATGTTGAGTTCTAAATTTTATAAAAATATCGATAAAATATCGATGTCGATTGATATTCTTGTAAAAGTTAGAAAAATTAAAAAATCGTAAAAATTATTTAAATTAATAAAATAAATATTTTTTTATTTCTAAATTAGTCAAAAATAATTAATATTAATATTATATATATATATTAGTGACAATGTGTTGATATTTTTCATATTTTATCGATTTTATTATACTATGATGAAAATGTCGATTTACCCTCTCATGTAAATGTAGAACCCATGGAAACATGGATATGTCGATGGAAAAATCGACATATCAACGGATATTTAGGACCATGATTATAAATTAAAATCCATTCTCATTAATGTCCTATTCCATATATATATAGAATTGAGGTTCAAGTCAAGATAGATCTCAAATATAATTATATTTAATACAGATTGGCTTGTTCTTTGATTGGTGATTTGTCAACTACTAATTTTTAGACAAACATACAAACTTAACTTAATTTCGCTTGTGATTTTCAGAGGTCAAATATTCAATTTTTCATCGTCATAATTGTAGTACTAAATAAAACCACCCCTAAAATTTGAAATTCAAATGGGGTGAATTTGTCTATTTGCCAAGTTTTTTGTTTTTCCATTTTAGCACTCCACTATGGTTCGAACCTAAAATTAAAGATTCTCATCATGTAGAAGCTGATGTAGTGCTTCTCATATATATATATTTGTAAAATTTATTATATACTACTACATCTATGGCCAGTACTGGCATTGTTTAATCAAATGTTTTATTTATTTAGCGCACATTGATAATATGGTTATAAAGCCAATAATAATATATGGTATTAGAAAATTTTGCTCTACTCACTATAACACCATATGCCAAAATATCATGTCAATTGTGATATGCAAAACCAAATCAACTTTTAGCACAAAAATTAGATGTGGTAAAGTGACAATTTGAAGATTGGATAACTCAACTAACTATATATTAGTATCTCGATGTAAGTTCAAACTTTTTATCCTCTTATTTGTAATATAATATTGAAATATTTGTTTTAGAAATGCTAAAAAGCAGCAAAAGAAAAAAATTAGAAAGAATAATCTTTTTAAGTAATTAGGATAGGAATTTAGCCTCTTTAATTATTATTTATTTATTTTTGTCAGGGTGAATTTCGGCCAGCTTTATTAAACGCCATATAGATCCTTTTTCTAACATTTTCATTTCTTGTTTATAGTTTTATTGAAAAAATTAAGCATTGTTACCAAAATTGTATAGAAGTTTCATTCTTTTTCAATACATATTTATTTTATACTATTTAGCATAATTTTCCAAAATAAATTTTTTAAATGCCCTCTTAAATATTGAGTTAATAAATATTCTAAATTTTGTTTGCCGAACGAAAAAATGTCAAAATATCCAATTGAGCTAGATTGAGATACTTATTTCTAGTTAAAAGATCGTGAATAATCTCACTCTTACTTAAAAAGGTAAGACATTAGTACAGATAATGATACCACTTAATTTTCCACCAAGATGATTTGCTTCTACACTATCTTTGGTTCCATCTACAATAAATTGCAAAATTATATTCTTAAACTTCTACAAAGATAATCATTGCCACACCCCATTGAAGCATTAACTTATAAATACTATTACTGTGAACATAGTATCTCTAAAATGGCTATCTAATAAAGGGTCGATGGTGGTTAAAATTTGAACTTACGTGAATCTGCAGATTTGATTCAGGTCGTCCCACAAAGAGGTGATAAGAGCGAGATCATGGCACGGGCTGAATCAGGTCCATGATTATTCACGCTTGGTATTATGTTTGCAGGAGATACGAGCTTTACAAAATCCTCAAGCTCTGAGAAGCTGCTGTGCTCGCTATATGGCACTTCGTACCTGTGAAAAAATGGCAGATTATACCTTCCTATAGATACTCCACTTCCAGTATTTTAGACTATCGAGGACAATTTTTGTTTGATGGTTAAGTATGGATAAGCAAACTAATTAGAATTAGGAAGTAGATCCATATTTGTCGAAATCAAGCAGCAAAGTGGAGAGCTTTTAAGAATTTAACAGTGGGGTTAACAAGGAAACTTGAACTTTTTATCTCCCAGTACTTCTAGATATGTATATATGTTTGGATAAAACTTAGATGATTACAGGTAGGTAATATGTAGGGTTAGGTAATATGTAGGGTTCTTCCTACTTACCATCGTTAAAAGATTGAACATTATTTATTCTATTTTCTCTCTTCCTTTATGCATTCATGTCTTTAGTTATCAGTTTTTCAATGGTTGTGAGTAGGAAGTAGAAGATATCTACTTTTCGATAAGCCCTTAAATTTGAGCCTATATTTTAATCTAAAAGGTATCTCCAAATAATGAATAGATCCAACAAATTTTGCAGGAGGCGAGCTAGAAATATCTTCCAAGCAATCTAAAAACAAGAAGTGGTAGAAAAATACCTTATAATTGTACCTTGCTGCCACCTTCTACCAGGAGATTTCTTCTTTCCTTTTGAGAGCGCCCAGCCAGTAGGAGAGAAAGCAACTACAAGACTGAATCGATTCTGGATACAATAAAATCAATCATCGTAATGTCTTCCAAGTTGAGAAGAAACTAAAGAAAAATTGAGTGCATTCTTTTATTGCTCTGAGCTCAGGATCAAGTGCAATAATGTAACACGTAGAGGCAGCCAGAGTGCTTATAAAGAAAATTTGTTGGATAAAATTTACATTAGTTGTCATTTCTTTTCATACGATCGTTTTAACTTTTATATAGGTTTGCACATCTTTAACAATTCAGTGATATGGTACTGTACACTCAAAACCATCTAAAATACCAACAACAGAGATAAATTTTCAACCTACATCAAGAGTTCAGTGAACAAAAAAATGACAAATGCACAAGTTAAACCTTTGAGTCTTATAGTTGCTACAAAAAAATCTTCTTAAAAACTGGCCCATGAAAAAGTACACATTTATAAATCCGGAATGTCCAACAGCAGGTCAAAACCTCAATAACAACGACGTGCAATGAGAATAGGTAAATGAACAGCAATCTTTTAGAACATGCAAATGCAAAATGAACGTTTACTGTAATTCCAGTAAAATAAGGATTAAATAGCACCACTCACAGCATATTGATTTGATACATGCTTCAGTCGTTTGAAGCTTGCGAGTGTCCACAAAGGTACGACATGTATGTGGCTTTCCCATTCATTCACTGTAAACCACTGCATATCCTCCTCTGAGAATCCCAAGCATTTTAAAATGCGTAACTTCGCTGCAGTTACATACACCTTCTTACGCAGAACACGGGCAACCTCCAAAAAAAGCCGTTCTTTTCCTGTTAGGGATAGGGAAGACATTAAAGGATAGTTTCATGCACTTTTTAAAAAAATCTAAAAGCAAGACAAAGCAGCATGGGATCAACATTATAAAGAAGACAAAATTATATCCTCTGACCCCGAAAAAAGGGCCATGAAGTGCACAGCAAAAAATAGAAGCTAAGACAATACAGAAAATTTAAATCTAAAATTTACCGATAGTATAGCATCCAATCAGGAAAAGTGTTTTTGGGTTGAAAGCTTCAGCTTGAATTGCATCAATTACAAACTGTATTACAGTCTCCTGCTTTGGAAAATCATACTGCGGGAAGTAATGCATGAAAAAGAATTAACACCTATTCAAATAAGAAATTTAAACTCCAGCATTATACTTGTACACACGTGGCAAACATTGAGAGAACATGGACAGAAGTACGAGGAACATTACATTGTAGATGGATGCGTCTAAGAAAATGATTTAACAAAATATAAGTCAATATAAACTAAAGAATAGAATTTCAATTGAGCAATTACATTATCAACTAGTCCACATTTACAGAAATATCGGGATAATCTTTCCATTTACTCAAAAGTTATTACGATACACACGTTGATTCGTAAACTTGCGCTACAGCTAAGATTAACGACTTTGACTTCAGACTATAGGTATAGTTTCCCCTAAACCATTATGATTCTGAGCTTTACTGAAGCTGATATTTCTTTTGAGAAGGTGAGCAAAGTAAATCTTATTAGGTCAATAAGCAAAGAAGTAAAAGGCAAATCCCCATTCTCTATTAACAGAGTCACCTGTGGATCACAATAAGTGGTATCAAGGATCAGAGTATGGATACGACATGTTTGAAAAACTGGCAAGCTTCCAATTTCCTCGCAAAATCGGAAATCCCCCGTATGTAGAACAGCCTGGATGTCGGGAAAAAAGTTGTTCACCTTATAGAATATGGAAAACAATGATGAGCAATTAAAATAATTAAGGTCAATTTGGACCACACCTTACCATTGGGTGGTTCAAAGAGTATAATTATTGAACCAGGGCAGTGGTTAGCGTCAAAACAGGTTACATCTATTCCCGCAATGTTAATTTTTTGGTCGAGAGGTAAAACTTGTAACCTTTCCCATGGAATTCCAATCTTCATGTTTACTAGCTTTGCTGTTATAGGCGAACAATAAATCATCCCATGACGAAATGACTTTGTCAGACCTTGATAATCTACGTAAAAGACCATATTGATATCAGAGAGAAAACCAAACTAGAATGGCAACAAACTCAACGTCATAAAATTTGGACATTAAAACTTGCAGCATTAAATTTTTGGTTAGAAAAATGAAGAGGGTTGTTCCAATCATTTTGGATTTATTTAGTTATTGGCAATTGCAATGAAACACGAGTTATACTCAACATGGATAGCACAACACATGACAACCATGTTGAAGAAGCTATAATAATATTCAAAGGTACGAAATGTGTGGAAATATAGACAAAGAATAATATTCAAAGAATCCTTCATGCATATAATAATATTCAAAGAATCAACTTCATAAGAGTTGGAAATATAGACAATTTATAGGCAAATGAATGGAATTTTTACATAATTCAAGTTCAACAGAGCCAATCACAGATTATAGAGAAAACCCAAAACTAATTAAACAAACAAATCAATGTCTTGTAAAATATGTTATTAAAAATGAATCAGAAAACAATATCAACAAAAGATCCTGTACCCAAGAAAGCAAGCTAATGTTTATATTCTTCTCTACTTCAGGTTTTTAGAGAGTACCATGGAAAAGGTAAAATATGTTTCACCGACATACTCATACTGGAACTGTGTATAGAAATACCATTTCTTCAGCAAATTTCCAGCTAATATTAAGAACTGACTGCCTTCTCTTCTGAATCGCATTTGGACTAAAATGCAACAGTGAAAAAGAGAGAGAACTAGTTTTAACTTACGATCCATATGAAAGTGAGTAAGAAACCAATGGAAACAATCTCCTCTTAGATGTCGGAAAGCATCCTGAAAATATAACAATATGCAGTACTTAGCAATGGAATTTGTTCGATGATCTTCACTAGAGAATATAGGAAACTACTACTCACACTCAACCACAGACGATATAGCCATTCTTCTAACAAAAAGTAGCAATATGTGTTGAACAGAAATGAATACATTCTCAATAAAAGAAGTTTTTTTTTCTCAACCCAAAGGCCATGTTAATGAAATATAAATAAAGAAAACATTAACAGACAACAAACGACATTGTTCATCCAATTGGAATCACTTACCACTCTAAATGGTGTTCCTGGTATGCAACTCCAAACTGGAACATTCCCAAGCTTTCCATTCTTTACATTTCTTTTTACCGTTTTACCTCTGTGTGAAGAGTCAGATAATTTTTTTTCCACATCTTTCTGACCACTAGGGATGCTGCATGAATTTTTCTTATCAGAGGCAAAGCCTGGAAAATAATCAGTGATCAACTTGTTCGCAGGTGTTTTATTAGCTCCATTGATTGATCCTTCTCGCCCATCTGAACCACGGTTACTCTGTTGCCCAATACTAGAAGGGGCATGTGAATTCGTGCAAGTTTCAACCGCACAAGAATCTTTTCTTAGTTCGGAGAGAGCATGTGTGATCTTCCTTCGAGGGCCAAGTGCAGTAATACCCATCTTGATGAGATCCTTTAAAATAGAGATTTGCAAAAGATTTCAGGGACTAAACTTGAAAATACTATCAGACAATCTTTTACTTGGACAGAAGACAGTTCTTTCACTAATATTGGAAAAAATTATATCTAGTTCGATACTATATTTGTTAGTTTTATAACCTGATTTTTTATATTTAGATGAACTTTATCGTGAATTAATTTCTTAAGATGAATAGATGACTGTCATATACTACAAATTAGGTGCTCATTACAATAATAATCAACCATGCAGAAGATCTCAGGGACTAAACGTTCAATTCATACAATAAAAGTTCAAGAAGCACACCTCATCTGTCAGCCACTGTAATGCGGCCCAATCGATCTCCTCCCTTATAAAAATGTCTTCATATTTCGATAAACCAAGACCATGCAACCATTTGAGAACAGTAGAAAGTCTTGAATTATCACCAGATTGTTGAGGAACTGAAGTTTGCTTCCTATCATTGGTGAGAGCAACCTGCTGTGAAATTTAAGATTCAAATTTAGCATGACATGAATATGTGTCATCTTGCAGTGTAATCCATTTCCAATAAAGAGTCCCAAGTGACGAGCATGTCAAATTTTTGCTTAAGTTTTCAACACAACCCAATCCCGGGCGAAGCAAGAAGAATTCTACATCGTGGGTAAGAGCACAACGTTCAGTAAACAATTATATATAGCATCCATTAGTTTAACCCATTGCATTTATTCTAAAATAAGAAAGGGGAAGAAAAAACAATGAACAGTTGAGAGACTTGTAAAGAGGATAAAATTATCTGGACTCACATTTTGAGCTTGCACATCCTCTTGGTCAATACAATCGTTGGTGTGTACCTGACGTTCCTTGTCGCTAAGATCAGAAATATCAACTCCGCAGAGAGGACATTGAATCAAACCTTCTTCATCCACTGGAAAATCTGTTTCCTCAGTACCAAATCTTACTCCGTTCATATGGTCTTCTTCATCCACTTGCGAATGAAGATTGAGCAACAAGTCCAGCTCTGTGTCCGACTCAAAATCATCACTGGCTACCTTGTCAACTCCACCGCCACTGATGCCGACATCGCGATCTACTCTCGAATTCATTAACCTAGATTCAATCGAATTGCATAGATAGCCCCCTTTCACCTTCGACCCCTTACATTCATCCATCGCACCAGAAAAACCATTAACCCCGTCAAATATCTCCTCTCCCGAATTTGCATCATGAACTTGGTAACTGCAGCCAACAATGCTCGGCTCTATAAAGTCCAGACTGCAACCTAAATCTATTTCCGACAATCCGAATGCTTCACTACCATCCAAAGCAGCAGCACCATTCTGGCCATCAAAATTTGTGGATCCTGATACAGCATCTGGAAAAGACATCGACGAAAGCTTAAATTCAGTATCACCATAACCATATCCTATAGAGGGAATGTTTTCCTTGCCAATTGCCGTCGGAGTAGAGCGCTTCGGCCTCTTGGGCGCGCGAGTGTGGAGGGATGATAACTCGGAAGTCGCGAGGGGTTTTTGGGAGGATGAAGAGCGCGAGGAGAGGACTGTCTGGGTGGAAGGAAGAAAATCGCCGCCGCCGTCGTCGTCATCACCGGCATTAGTAGGCAAGTGGAATTGAGATAACTGGGATGCAGATTTCTGGTGGCGGACGGCGGCGGATTTGGTGAGGGGCATGAGGGCTGAGCAACAATCTGGGACACGAATTGGACGGGAGAACGAACGCAGAGAGGAATTGGGAATCGTAGTTTGAATTTGTGGCGCAGAGGAAAAGGAGGGAATTTTGGATTTAGAGCCAAATTTTGCACTTACAAACTAGGTTCTGCCGGGAAGAGGGACCGACGCGCCTTATAAAATGATACGAGTAAAATCTTTCAAATTAAACAAATTTTTTTATGAATTGAAATGTAAAACTTATAATTTTTTTAGTTGAAGAATTATAGGAGTTCTCTTTCTACCAACTAAGGAAACATAAAACTTCCAGCCACCTTTTTAGTGCCTAAATGAATGTAGCTCAACGTAATTAGCATAGTTCAACGTAATTAGCATATATCTCTCACCAAGAGATTGTGAGTTTGATTTCCGCTCCGATTTTTTTAGTTAATTTTTTTGTAGAGTCTGATTCTTATCGGTACGAGTCAAGGGAATAGCCTTTTGACCTCATAATTTCCATATTAAAAAACACGACACACATAAATATTCTCTTTTAATTTTTATTATAATAATATCGGGATGTGTTTTCTAAGGAATCAGAGAAAGATTCAACAACTTCTTCCAAGAAACCTTCCACAACTGCTATCGAACCGTCGACCTTGGGGATGCTTTCCCAATGTTTACAACAAAATTATATATTGATTCATAAATCTCATTTACATTTATGATATAACATCTCTTTTTATTTTGTGTAAAATCTTCATTTTGGTACCTGAGAATTTGTATAGAAGAGTCATACGAAAACTTTTGCTGTCAATAAAGAACATTAGAGTGCAATTTTATTTGATGTAACTTAATCATGTTTATTAGTCTAATTGTATACAATTCCAATGCAGTAACCAAGAGAAAGGAGAATTTGGAAGTGAATTTCTAATTCTGGTTGAAGCCTGCAATCCACAAATTATATTGAAAACCAACTGCTCAGCTTGAATTTGAATGCTGAATTTACCCCTATCATCTGCTGGAAGTCCATCAAAATCTTCACTCTCTAGACTTCCAAGCATACCTCATATTCATATGGTAAAAAATGGGTGATGCTCGTGCCAATCGACCAACAATTGACATTCTAGAGTCGAGATAGTCATAAGAAGAACAAACACTATGCGAATATATCGAACTAGATACTATACTAGCTACCAGTAGTCACCACAAGAACAAGTTCCATCCCTGAAGTGATGGAAGCGATTTGCATCTCTTACAACAATCTCCTTCTTTGTGAGCTTTGATATGCACTTTATGGCGTTATGGCAATCACCGCATACCCTTAGGTTCTTTATAATGCGGATGGTTGCTGAGGGAGAAGTGTTGATAAGTCCGTAAGCTATTGCAAGTTTCTCGCTATGATAGTAGAGGGCGCGTTCTTTTTCCTCTTCTTCAACGTCAAGCAACATGAAATCTGTGTCTGGGACGTAAGATCTTTCTTCTCTTATTCTCTTCATCAGAGCCTCTACTTTCTCATATATCAGATCAGCTTGCGGATGGGATCGATCGTCCACCACGAACAAATGCACTTTGTTTTTCACATTGATCCAGCTAAAACTCGGGTCCTTCTTAACATTTTTCATCTTCATCCTGTTTCTAGCATCGGTAACATCATCCCATTGCCTGGATGCAGCATATATATTGGATAAGAGGACATAAGCGGACGAATCAGATGGATCCAAGGCCAGAAGTTTGTCAGTAACACGTTTTGTTGTTTTCTGTATCTCCCTTAGTCCTGCAAGCACCAAGCAACGCTCTATACATCGAGGCGGAGGCTTCAAATGGCATTGATACTATTACATTTTCAGCCTCTTGAATGCATCCTACCCGGCCAAAGGCATCCACCAGACACGAGTAATGCTCGATATCAGGAACAATCCCATATATTTTGAGCATTGCATCAAAATATTTTTAGGCTTCAGAAAACAACCCAAAATGGCTACAAGCAAAAAGAACTCCAATAAAGGTTACTTTATCGGGCAGAATACCATTTGATTGCATAGTTTGAAAAGATTAAGAGCTTCATCGGCGTTGCCGTGTTGGGATAAACCTAACAACATGGCATTCTAGAAGGCAACTTCCCCAACGTCCATCTTTCCGAACACATGATAGGCATCTCGAACACTTCCACATTTGCAGTACATGTCGACTAGGGAAGTACCAACAAAATGGTCCAAAGCATAATTCAACTTTATCACATTAGCATGAATCTGTCTCCCCTGTTCAAGAGCTGTTAAACAAGAACTTACTTTGATAAGAGTAGAAAAGGTATATTCATCAGGTTGAACTCCTGAGACCCTCGTTAATTGGTACACAGAAAGAGCACGATCCTCGTCCCCATTTTCGACATAACCCGAGATCATTGTCGTCCAAACAACATCATCAGGTCTACTAATTTTATTGAACAATTCAAGAGCATTTGGCATGTCTCCACGTTTAATGTACATATCCAAAATACTACTACTGACCAATAAATCATTATTGAATCCTAATTTTATTGAATGAGCATGAACTTGTTTACCTTGCTCCAAATTGATCAAGCAACTGGAAGCTTTGATTGCGGTTGCCAATGTGATTTCGTCGATCAGCACCCCTGTTGCATGCATCAGACTTAAAAGTTCTAACGCCTTTTTTAGTTTTGTTACTCTTTATGTACCCAAACATCAACGCATTCCAAGAAGCCAAATCAAATTCATACTTGTTATGCAATAGAGTTCTGCCTCGTCCACTTTTCCGCTCTTCGAGTACATGTCAATAAGTGTTGTCGAAACAAAACTGTCATTGACAATACCACATTTTATTGCATAGTCAGTCATGCACCTATGTGCTGAGACTGAAATACTCTCCTTCCTCACTGGTTAAGCAGGTTCTTAAACACACAACACTAGCAAAGGTAAACTGATTGGGTCTCGAGCCATCGCGTAACAAATCTATGAATGTGCAGATTGCCTCTTTTTCAAGATGATTATGAGCATAACTCGATATCATCGTGTTCCACAATATTAGATCCAATTTCAGTGAGTTAACAAACATCTTTTCCACAGCATAAACAACCTCTACCTTTGAGTACATGTTCATGAGACCATTTGCAACAGGAGCTACTGAATCAAAACCAGATTTAAAACAAGTGCGTGAATTTGTTTCCCCAAGTCAAGATCACCCGTGCCAACAACTGCAGATAGAACAACGATTAAAGTTACACTATCATATCCTACTGCTGATCTAAACAGGCTCTTAAAACAACCAGCAGCTGCCAAATTTTGGCCAGCTTGAAGATATTCCAACAATTTTTTGTTCCCAGAAAGTACATCCAAGCCCTCGTCCAATGGAAATATCTTCATCTTATAGGCCTTGACCTGCTCCTTGTACCTCTTTATGTTATCAGAACCGCCATTGTTAACACCACCAAGAAGACAATGCCGGCTCGAGAAATCGGGTAAGATCCCACTTCGATGAAATGCAGAGAACAAAAGCTTCGTCCTCGAAACCATGTTCAACGTAAGCCTTGAGCATCACATTCCACAGCACAACATCTCTTTCAAGCATTTCGTCGAACAGTAAACGTGCCTCACCAAGCAGGCCATATTTGCAGTAAATATTCATAAGAGCCCCTGAAACAAATAGGTCCAATTCCAATCCAATCTTAACGGCAAATCCATGAACAACCTCAAATACCTCCACAAAGCTAGAAACCAAACACAGCTTCAAGATTGGCGCCAAAGTAAGTCGAGTCGCTGAGAAACTAGACTCCCACGAAAGGCCAAAGAGGCGAAAGCCCTAGAGAAGATTCTCTACACTAGAATCGGCAGAGTGCACGTAAGCAGCTACATTGGAGTTCCAAGTAATGAGATCACGGTTAGAGGTTTTATCAAAGACCTGGCGGGCGGAGAAGAGAGACCGGCATTTGAAATACATGGTGATGAGATTGTCGGTCAGAAACTGATCGGGGAGGTGGTTGGAGGTTATGATACATGCGTGACCTCGCTTGCCTAGCTTCAAGTCGACGGTGGCAATGGCGGAGCGAAGAAGAGAACCATTGAGAAGAGGAAGGCGGCGGCTCCAAATGGCAAAAACGCGGAAATTTGATCCAGAAACTTTCCGCCATTGGAGCTCAATGCCGAGTTAAGTTTTAGAAAAAAAAAAAAACCAAATGGCAAAAACGCGGAAATTTGATCCAGAAACTTTCCGCCATTGGAGCTCAATGCCGAGTTAAGTTTTAGAAAAAAAAAACGCTTTCTGATCACGTCGCTGCTCCACATCTTCAATGAAGAAATATTTCAGGTTCTTAATACATAAAAATGGGACAAATCTTCTGGTTAAATCAATCAAAATTCATGGTTGAGGAGCTGTTTTGAAAAGTTATCTGATGAATTACATCCTCATATATATAATTCAATTCTACCAGTTACATCTGAGAAAAAGAAAAGATTGGAAGAACTGAGTAAGAAAAAACAACTGACAAAAATTTAAGGTACAATGTAAACCTTAAAAAACAAAGTAGCAAGAGAATGCCGATTTCAGGGCTAAGAAATGTTAAACCCCTGTCAACCGATCAAACTTGATACAATTCTACTTACTTTTCTCACCTTTCTTCATCTTCCCTTCTTCATTTTCTTCTCCTAATTCTTTATCTTCTTCCCTCTCTCTTTTTTTTCTCTTTTCTTTTTTTTGGTTTCGGCCTGAATAACTCTTTTCCCCAACTCTAACCATTTACCGTACAACAATGGTGACTATCACAAGTATGATTTCATGGCTCTTTTTTTTTTTAGTCAAAAAAAGAAGAAAAAAATTATAAAAAAACTCCTACACTTCACTGTGCTCTCCTCCTCTCACTCCCTGGCTCAGTAAATCACAACTCTAAGCAGCCCTGGTTGCGGYTCGCTAAAGTCGAGGCCTTCTTCTTCGATCAAGTATCTCTGTACAGCTACTGGAAGTCTGGCAGGAGTGCGGGCACCCCGGGTGTGATGCCCTGTTCCAACGCAAATATAAACCTGCAGACGTTGTCCCGAGGCCCTGGCAGTACCCCTCAGCACGCTCAGCTCGTGCTTCAGAACGTGAATCGCTTCGCTCACRTGCAGCCCATGCAAGTCGATCATTCGTTCCTGTCCCCTCCCATTTCCCTGAGCATCTGCGCCTATTTGGTTCCTGAAGAAACAGCGTGCAACAGAACAAACAGCAGAACAGAAAATAAATGTAAGGTAGTCATAAAGCAATTCAGAAAATTCCTGTAGCAGTGTCGTGGTGCTATATCTTAAGAAAACTGTGCCATCGAGATCTTTGAACCATTCATCGRATCGAATGATAAGAGCCATGTCAGAACCATGGGATGATCGGTCCAAGTAATCAAAGATATACCATCTTCGGGAAATGAATCAATACTCCCTCCAAATTATGTTTTAGCAAAGCGTGGCAAGAATGACAGTAATAAGAGAAATTATTCGAGGAGCCAGACAGTTTTATACCATTAGATGTACATGATAGATTAAAAACTGTATTTTTGACAATGCATCCAAATTAGGAAGGGGCAGCAATATTGTGACGACTACACCAAATAATTTTTCCAATAATAGGAAACCAAAATTAGCCATGAAATTTCACCTGCGTCAACCTTGTTCTGAGTCTAGACAAAAGCAGCAAGGGGAGAACAAACCTCTGGCGATAAATGGATTCTTAACAAACCTCTGGCGATAAATGGATTCTTGGGCCCTTCCATGAGCTGCCTTCATGTGCATGTTATGTAACTGACCCTTCACACTTAGCTCCTTTGCTAAAGCTTTATTACCGATGAGGTATGCTTGTCGTGCCTATTTTAAAAAATAAGAAGTACAATTAACTGAGCCAAAATGTGGAAGGGGGACAAAATTCTATTGTAGGGTATATATCGTTTACCATGGAAAAGCATATATCAAATCACACAGCTCGTTTGTTACAGTAGATAGGTATAGATTTCACATTAGTAGATAAAAAGACTAACAAATCAGGAGACAAGAGGGGATTGTGTGCCTTTTTTTTTTTTTGGTGGGGGTCMAAGAAGAGAACTGACAATTATTCTGACTTACCTGTTCAAAATATGCATTTCGCAGGCGAGCATKATCACGTGCTTCCTCCCGCTGCTCAGAATACATGTTTGCTGCCAACTTAATAATGTTAAAGCAGGAATACATACAAAAGTTTGTCCTACGTTACGTCACATCAACAAAGAAAGAAATTTGACAGGTAAGCCAATTACCAACTGCTTCACCAGTTTCAAGCCAAACCGGAGCAGCCTGGGCTGAACCTCGCTGTAGCAACCTCTCACTATAGGTGTCTTTCCCATGACCACTCGTGTATTTGCTAGCTAATGTATGAGAACTTCTACTCGAGCCAATAGAGTCATCAGCAGAACCGTTTCCATTGTACTTCCACATACCAGAATCCTGAGATGCCAATTTCCTGATAGTAGAAGCAAAGTCTGCAGCACCTCTGGATGGAACAGCGCTGGATTTGAAGAAAATCATGCTATCTTTATCAGAAGAGAGATACGGGTTGGCACTTTGTTGGAGATCATCAAATTTTGGATGACCATTTTGACCACTGGATACAGTAAGTGCGGGAAAGTCCATTGCAGTAAGATTGGGGGCAGACATTGTCTTGGGATTCAGGTTTTGACTTATCCCACCATCAACTTGAAGCTACAGTTTAAAAGAGTACAATATTATACTTATATTAAATGGTATATGCAGTGACACAAAAGATAATGAGAGCATGGCACCAACCACAAAAACTGGCTGTCCTTCTCTTAATTTGACAAGAAAGACAAAGCAAAAGCATACCACGTATTCATACCAAATTAAATAGTTTAAACATGCCATGAGTCATCAGAAAAGTCCTTACTATTCTGTGAAAGAAGTATATTTACAGGCTCAACTCCATCACAAAGATATATCACTACAAGAGTTTTTTGTAATACCAAGAAATGGAAGTTTTGACTTAAGTTAACTTACTTCCAAAACTATTGAATAAGGTTTGATGATAAAGTGTTTTGAAGATAATGAAGAATGAAATCTTACTTCACTTCATGCCATGAAAAAAGTCAACTTATCTCTAATTGGCTTGACTTTATTTACACACCATCTTTAGAAAGTCAAAACTTACCTCTAATTGAGTAAGCATCTCAACAGTCAGGTTTAAGTCACCTCCGTTGGCAAAGTAAACTTCTGCAAGGCTTCAGCAGCAAAACCAGGGAACTGCAAAGCCAAAAACTCAACAGGGTTCATCATATCACTTTCATCCATGGTTATTTGCTCACTCAAGACATCCATAGCTAATCCCCTCCCAGAATTGCCAAGATAAGAAGGGTGTCGTTCATTGCTAACAGGATGATTATTGTTAAGAACAGGCTTCTGCMATGGTTTATTTGAAATTTGAAAAAGACTAGCTGAAGATTGATCTTCCCCATACGAAGCAGAAGAGAATCTAAACTTATCAGTAAATTGACTGCCATTATAGGGATTTAGATTTGAATCCTGCTGATCATTCAACAAATATTYACTGCCAGTAGAAGCAGAAAATAARGRGGCATCACTGTCATCATGCAAGGATAAGCCAGMCAAYGAAATATTTCMAAGAGAGAGATTCTCATCTTCTCCCATTGACTYGAAATCAGGAGTAATATMATCAGGGAGCTGATGCCTCCAGAATTGAYGGGCCTCTTCATCAGAWTTATTTGATACAGATGACTCAGTCCGATCTAGAACTGCTTTTCCTAATGTCCCAGAAGTAGAAAACCTTGCTGTCAAATCTGGCGCACTACTACTTCCAACTGGAGATGCTCTGAGGGCGAAGGGAATAAACTCGGCTGCATTGGGATTCAAAGATGTCACCTTGCTCACAGTGTTTTGTTTTGCCTCGTTGGTTTGCATTCCTTTCTTGGACACGTTCATTATTTGCTAATACCAAAATATAATGCTCACATTAATTTTGAAAAAATCTGTAGGGAAAAGCTCAACTTTTTGTAGCCTCAACCAAATCCTGCAATATGATTTCGTTTCATCGGGCTAGTTAGTTAGTCGAGTAAACCAAAAATGACTAATTTCCATCCATCATAAAACATTAAAAAATAATAATACATATTTAAAAGAAGTCCCTTAGTCCCCATACATTCTTCTTATCTGAAATGAAATGAACGGCAAATATTCAATAAACCTCCATGTAGAAACTGTAGAAATAATCTCCACGAAATATATGCACAAGATATTAATATTGCCAAAAACCTACGTCATTTAAATTAAAATTCTTGAGACAATCAAGAACACCTTCCACAAAACTTCCAAGTTTCATATGATAAAAATGGGATAAAATTACCATTCAGCTCATTTTAACCATACACTTAATGTCATTTCATGTGAGCTGAGTACTAGCCAGATGAGTACTGAAGCCAAGACATCATGCATAGAACATTTGCTACAATTGGTGAGAAGGAATACGTGACATTATTATATACGATAACATTATATAACAAATAAATAAGAATAAAAACAATAGAAAGAAGATAAGAAGCAGAAGACCTGATTAATTTGAACCAGACCCATAACATAAATTACCAAACTTTACAACTAAAGATTAGAGCAAGAAAAACGATACACACCCCCAGAAGCAAAAACCAAGCAACCAGAATCAGAATCTCGCGGCTACACAACCAAATTAAAGAGATCTCAGTGACTTCAATGCCCAGAACAATCGAAAAACAAGTAAAATTGCATCAATTACATAAAGTCCCAAATTTTGTACAGAATTATTGCTATAAACATAACAACACCAAAAAAAAATCGATGGATTAGAAAGCAGGTTAAAGAGAACACAGTCTTGTATACCTTTCCGGAACAAATCGAAGGGATCCATGGAAGCGGATCGGATGAAGTCAGAAGCGAAGAAATTGGAAGATARGATCGAAGTTTTAACGTTGAATTTGGAAGTTCTCAACTCTCTGTGTTCAGTGTTTTGTGTGTGAGACTCGGGTTTCAGAAAATCGTCTCCCCTCTCGTCTCTGTGAGAAACCCTCTTTGGCTAAAACCAGCAGAAGCACAACCACAAAAATATTAAATTCAAAAAGACGCTTATGCCCTTCGCCACTCAATTTGACCTCTCTCTCTTTCTCTCTCTTTATCTATCTGTTAATTTTGTCTTATAATTCAAATTAACAGATAAGCACGAAATTGGAATTTGGAAGGCTTTCTCTTCTCTTACAAAAAGTCTCCACTAATTCTTCTTTTTTTATTATTTTTTTATTTTTTTTGACAAATCTTTCTTTTTTTCGTGAGTGCAGTGAGAATAAATAAATAAATATATATACTCATAAAATATATATTCTCTAGATTTTGCGCCGTTGTCAATCTAGTTGATTAACGGTGATTTAGTGAGTAAATATTCGGCCCATTTATCCTGGCCCAAATATAATTTTTTTTTCTTTTTTGTTCGGTGGCCTTCTTTTAAAAAAATATTTTATCATTCATAAAAAGAAAATAAAGGAAAAAAAAAGTATTTTATCATTACTGCTTTTGTATCAAGTGGTTGTAGATGTAATTTGGATTWTTTAATTTGTATAAATTAAAAGAAATTGACAGATTTACCACCAATTTTAAGTAATTTTATTTAATCTAGTTTTAGATAGATCATTAAGCTTTCAATTGTATGCTTATCAATCTAAAGTGTTTGTGACAGGTTAAACGTAGTATTTAAGAATTACTTGACTAGTTTTTTTTTTTTTTAACCTTGTGATTGGATACATGTATCTTAATCAGTTGAACTATCATTTGGTTAGCAATTACATAACTAGATGATCTCGAGCATTTGATAGAAACTTACAAAGTTAAAATATTGTTTGATTTAGTAAGATCATTTGACTTTTTGAAACTTACTGATCATTTATGGGTAATTTAGATATTGATCGAATATTTTATTTTTGTATTAGGACATGTGGGGATAAGGATTCGAACTAACGATATTTTGATCGGACACAAATACTTTAATTGGTTGAACTATGTTGAAATTATTATTATTTTTTTTAACCATGCCCAAGTTGATTGAATTATTATTACCACAATGTATTGTGTTGTATTTGCGGTCAATCCGAAAAATAATTCTTTAAGAGAAAGTCGTGTATTTTTTAGCCGATAAGAGTAAATTCAAATTGCATTCACTGCGACTCTTGGCGAATTCCAAGGGTCAGATGGCTAATAAAAAAACCTATTTTTTAAAATTTATTCTGAAAAATTAATCCAGTAATTTTACTCGAGCATCATATCTAATTTTATAATCAATATATCGTTGTAGGTAAAAAAAATTATAATCAATCGACAATAAATATAAGTTTTTTTTAATAATATTCAATAAATATTGTTAACTTAACGTAAATTCACATAATAAATATTCGATTTTGTATTAGACGACGACAATATTTTATGCTGAATTTAAAATTGGTTAGTATAAAACATAAAATTAGATTTGTTTGTTTTTAAGAAAAAATGTAAACCTACGTACAAATAGTTTATAGTGAATTTTAGCTGACAAAAAATATATATAGTATTCATTGGTATATCGTTTTTAGGCCAGGTAAACTTTTGTATTAACAATGAGTTAAACTATACTATAAACGTATTCATATTGATTATAATGATGTTTATTTAATCCATAAACTTTAAAATATTTAATTACATCATTCAACGTTAAATTTTAATCATGTATTTCATATTGCTAACTAATAGAGTAAGACATCATGATAAATTGGTACAATTTGATCATACGTAGTTGTTGCGCTGAAGTGAACAATTAGGTAAAATAAAGTGACACAGTCAATAAAGTGATTTTGATGCATTACTTAAAATAATGATGCATGTCATTTTATACTTTTTCTCATTGTGGCATTTATACATCACATCATACCAATTTAGTTAAGTTTTATCCAACGAATATGACACACATATATTAATTGACGACGTCGACAACAAACAATGTATCATAATTTGAAGTTCAAATACATTATCAAAACTCATGAAAACTTTACGAACTAAACATATAAATTAGTAACATTCAAATGTCAAATCAGACATAGTTCAACGTATTTCGTATTTATCTCAAACTAACAGGCTATGATTTCGAATCTCCACGTCCATATGTTGTATTAAAAAAATTTAGTAGTTCATAAATTAAATTTGTAATTTATCGTTATAAAGGACAGCTCACGTAATTTACCGGAGAAAAGGGGCAAAATTGAGGACAAAATAACAATTGTGAGTCAAGGGATGCAGCAACTTTCTAAGTGTGTATGGTACTTGCCTCAGTATTTACGGGAAAACTACAAAAGAGGTGGATGCTTGTTGGGCCAGAAGGTTATTAAATGCAATGGGCCGCGTGGCCCAATTTTGTAGGTGGACACAAAACTGTGTCGTTTAAACAAACCATATGCATGCCATTCACGTGCGCAGCCGCCACGACTCCCACGCGCTCGCGTCTGCTCGATTCGCAAAGACTTACTCGACAGAGACACCACGCCTTTATTTATTATTATTTTTCTTTTTGTAATGCCGTAGACTCAATATATTCATTAATTTATAATAGATTTTGAATCTTGTAGGTAATTAAAAATTTAATTTTTTAATAAATGATTGAATTTTTAATTTGTGTCTAATAAATCTTTAATTTATAAGGTATTTTTAAGATTTAAAGATTTACATGCTTATTCTTAACCTAAACATAATTCAACTAGTTAAAGTTATACTAAATACTACGATTCGAGAAAAAAAAACTATGAGTTCTAAAATCTACTTCTACATATTGTACTGAAAAATAATTAATAAAAATAACAGATTTAAAAACTTTTAAAATGTATAGATCTATTATACACCCGATGAAAATTATAATACAAGGTTAACTTGAATTTTTCAATCAAATTGGTAGGTTTATACATGTTTTAAAAAAATTAAGCTAAGTACACTTTGTATCTTCGATCATTTAAGGAAAAAAAAAAAGAAAAAAGAGAAAAACCATTTGAGGTGTAAATTGTAACATACAATTAAAGAATAAAAAAAATAATTGGGAGGGTATATTGGGAATGTGAAATAATAGGTGGGTACGTTATGGTAATTTGGACGGGAGCGCGGTTGTGGAACAAGCGCTAGATGGAGCGAGTAGGGGGGGGGAGAGATAGGAAGCGGACAAAATGTGGAAAGTTGGGTGAGCTGGCAGAGAATGGCATTTTGGGAAGAAGAGAACAAAAGAGGTACAGAAATCGGCCGCGATTTTCGAATAAAAAACCAACCAATAGCGTCGCTTCGCTCTACTTTTCCATTTATCATTTGCATTTCCTATGGTAACCCTAAACCCCGCACACAGTAAAATTTTCAATACTACTCTTTTTCATTATTATTACTGTTTATAATATCCACATCACTAAAATACAGGTAAGGATTTCAATTTCGGATTTACTTTACAAATTTTGTTCATAATTACTAGTATTTTATTTCATATATATCACGGTGTTTTCTCAAAAAATAAAATAAAATAAAAAATCCCATGATATTCTTAAATGGTGATGACGTGGATAATAATAATTGTAAACGCGTAAATAAATGAAATAAGGTTGAATATTTTCTGAAGTTATTTATTATTACTTTTTACAAATTCAGTATTTAAAATTTGTTAATAAAAACCTGTTAACAGGCTGTGTTCATTAGGCTCATTTTGTTTCATTTCTAGCTCTATATTTTAAAAATTATGCATGCTTAATTCTCAAAAAAATTTGATATGTATTCCAACATTTTAGTTATTGGTTGAGAATTGGCCCAATTTCTGAAAATATCCTTTTAAAAAATATGTAGCCATACGAAAAAAATACGAACCCTTAGTACCTATCTCTAAATTTTGATATTATCCAATTTCAATGGAACAATTTAGTACCCTGTGAAACACATCAAAGAATAGATTAGTAAGATCAAATAAGATCGAGTGCAAAAAATAAAATAAACTTAAAATATATTATGCACCGTGTATATTATTAAATTCCTTTCATACTATATTTTGCTAAGTCGTCATTAATTATTCCAAAATTTAAGTAAAGGCATTAAATATCGAGATTTTACCATTATTAAATCAGTTTTTTTTTCATCATCATCACAATCAAATCAGAAAATTCACCAGAGGCCTTTCTTAGAGGATCAAATAGAATCATCTACCAAAAAATCAGGTAAATTTATAATTGAATAATTGAAGAAAAGAGAAAAAAATATCAGGGCTAGTTGGATATGACGTGGAAGAA